ATTATAAATTATATTATATTATAAATTAGATTTTGAGAATTTTGAGAAAAGAAATTCAATCACAATATCCTTAGAGAAAGATGCACAGCAATTCGGTCGATGAATCCGCAGGCGAAAGAGTGACGATACTATTATATTATAAATTAGAGACAAAAAATTTTGAGAAAAGAAATTCAATCACAATATCCTTAGAGAAAGATGCACAGCAATTCGGTCGATGAATCCGCAGGCGAAAGATGTGCGCGGGTGACGATACCTCCGGGATCGTCCTATATATTTTTTAGATCTCTGCCAGATCGAGTGCCGCGTCCTGCCTCATGATTTCCGGAAGCCCGGAGAGGGTTTCCGCGTGCGAAGCGCCGCGCATTGCCCCCTTTACCCCCCACGAATAGGATAGGGATAGAAGAGAAAAAAGGGGAGAGAATTCGTATATCTTCCTTCCAATCTCTTCGGACTATTGTCTCTGGCATCTCGTGTGTTCGATAATAATGGCTCCGCCGGGATCACGGTGCCCATACCTATGGCCCGGTCGAGCGCCCGTAGAAATAGTAACGGCTCCCCTCCCGTGCGGCGACGCGCGGCAGATTTCGTTTGCCCCCTCGTGCCCGACCGGTGAAATTTATTTACCTCGTAAATCGACCGGCGGTACGTTGAATTCTATTTCTTCTCATAAGGAGAAAAAAAACAAGAGAGAAAGAGAGAGAGAGGGAGAAAGAAAACTCGGACCGAAACTGCGCTTCCCTCTTTCATTTTGCAACTCGCACACACGTTACGTATCCTAGAATACGTATTTCGATCCTACGAGAGCATTCCGGATGACCCTTTGTTTCGCCTTCTTCCCATTGCTCGCTTGCTGCTTATCGAAAACGCCGCGACTCGATCACTGGTGTGAATTTAAAGCAGGATTTTTCCGGTGCTTCGAACAAAGTCGCGAATACATCGTATCCGGGTTTAAATCTTCGGGAGGTTTCGAAGGGATTAAATGAAATTGAGAAGGAGCGCAATAAAAAACGAATACTGGGGAGTAAAGAGATAGATGTTTAAATCGCGATTATGGGATGATATGACGTATTTTATTTAAGATACGATTTGAAATATCTTTTTTTTATTATTATAGGGAGCGAAAATTATAGCAAAATACGCATTTTGTACATTTCATGTCTTGCATTTTAGCAAATGTAATTATTTATTGTCATCCCAAATTTTTTTTCCTTTAACATGAGAAAGTCTTATAAAAAAGTTCTTGGATTTTTCAAAAATACTCTTAGAAATTTTTTTTTTTTCTGTTTACAAAGTATATATATA